GGTCATTGCTGCGAGTCTTCGAGGACGGTAAAAAGGAGGTTCAAGTCGTTGGATTGCAAGAGATAGTGGTTAATGACGAAAGTGATGTATGTGTTTTATAACTTCTAGTTTTAATTGGTGGGTTTTGAGATGCACATTCAAATTAAATTATGGATCATATGGAGTTCTATAACATTCAAATAAAGATGAATGGCATGTCTACTGTCACTAATGCCAGCATATATAACTTTTTTGAGTAATTTACTTTACGTTTTATGGGCGTATCGATTGAAAAAATAAGACCGCTGTTTATATACCATTGTGTTTCATTGGTGCGTAGATTTTGCTCGAATGTAAGCAGACACATCTACTTTCATTTTCTTTTTCAGGTATTGGATTTAATTAGAAAAGGATCTGCACTGCGGACAGCCGGAACAACATCTGCAAATCCTAATTCATCTAGATCTCATGCAGTATTTCAAATCATTCTGCGTAGAAATTAAGTTTATTTGCTTTTTACGCCTTCCATAATTGAAAAGTCTCATTCAGTTATCCTAAATATGACTTCATTGTTTTGATTTATTTTTATCATACTTATGCAAACATGTCGTGGCATGCTCTTTACTTGAATTTCTTGTATGTTGTAAAATAATGTAAACCGAGATAGTAATCACGTTTCTGATTAATACGTTACACTTTTACTTATAGGACTGAAAGGACTGAAAAGGGGCTAGGTCGTATTTGGGGTAAATTTTCGTTAATCGATTTGGCAGGGAATGAAAGGGGTGTTGATACTGTTAATACAGACAGGCAAACTCGAATGGAAAGTGCAGAAATAAATAAATCTCTTCTAGCTCTTAAAGAATGTATACGGTAAGTTATACGGAAACTTTTCTGTAGCATGATGTCTGTATTCGATATCAACATGTTATTGAGTAAAGTTTTATGAAAATAATGAAGTTTTTTTTAGTTTTTAAGATTTTCTGCCCCTTGTTTTGTATTTAAAGCGACAAAAAATATAGTTGTACCTTGCACTCCTTCCCGAATAAATTAATGCTTATTATTGATTGAGCGTTTAACTTCTTCATTGCAGGGCCATGGGTCGAAACTCTGCTCACATTCCATTTCGTGCCTCTAAACTTACTTTGGTCCTTCGCGACAGTTTTATTGGCTCTAAAGCTAAAACTTGCATGGTAAGTCTTGTAAGCATTCATCCAGTGATCAAAATTTTATATAATAGTAGTTTTGTCTTTGGTGACTTTTCTACATATTCTTTAATTTTATCAAGTTTGCAGATTGCGATGATTAGTCCCGGAATGTCTTGTTGTGAACATACCTTAAACACTTTGCGATATGCTGATAGGTATTTTTTCACTTCGTGCCACTCACCATATATTTTTACTCGTATTGTTTTTCATATTCACTTTATAGCATTAATGGATGAATTTATTTTCGGTACTCTTTATAGGGTTAAAGAGCTGGGAGCAGATGAAAGCTCGAATGCACCTCTGGAAGATGAACATCTTATGTTGAAAAATATTGGTGAAAATTATAATCTCCTGAAGTCCAAAAATGTAAAAATATAAATTTCTCATAAAAGATTTTTCAGAAAGTTCTTGTAGATGATAAAACTAAAAAGCTTCTTTTATTTTTATGAAATCTCAGTTTTCATCAAAAAAATAACGTTACAAATAGTATATAAAAGTTCATTTGTTACGGTCCTTAAAAATCAATGATGTAAAAAGTTTTCATCTATTTCGGCAGCATTGATCACTTGTAATTTTGTATTACAAAATGGATAACGAAAATTTCAGGAATTGAATGATAAAAATCAATGTCGAGTTGATGAAACATTGCAGAATATATGTGCAGTCGAAGAACTATTATATAATGAGTTGACAGCGTTATATGAAGTAAGGCATAGTGGGAAACTTACTTGTTTCTTGTTTTTGAGCAGTCTTAAAGTTGACTACGTATTGTATATTTAAATTTTTACTATTATGTATAAATCTGGTGCTTATTTTAGGATTCAGACAAAGTAAAGGAATCGATAGTATCATTATTGGAACGGTCAAGTAAATTGGATTATGACATCGATTCGTTTGCGAATGGACTGGTAAATTTTGCTCGTGAACAACGTGACAGATACTCACGCTTATGTGGTCAGCATTATTTCTTAACATTGTTGTACTGGTTTTTAAGTGTATATTCGCCTGTATTGTTACTTCAAATGATTATATCTTTTATCATTGTTCTAGTGTTGCAAAGTAGTTATTATGTTAGTCTTACTAGTTTCAGTTTCCGTCACATCTAGTTTTGACGGAATGGAACTAGGAAGCTTTAGAATTTGTTAATCTCTCTTAGTATACTTGATTTAAATTTTAAACCTTCAATTTTAGAAAATGCTGAACATCTGGTCACAGAACTTAACCGTGAGACAGAAATTATCAAAAAAAGCTCAAATCACAACAAGAAGCACGAAATATGACTGTCAGTCACATTGATCTTTATTTTTGTACTCATAAGATATGCATTCATGACAATTTTTTTGTGTTCATACACAAAGTCATTTTAAAACTGGGAGTATTCTCAGACTTATATGCATGTAAGCTTTGTATATTATTCATGTGCTTTCGTAAGATCTGGCTTCAAACTTCTGTATTGTTGTGATCGAACATTCCTGAAAACTTTAAAACTTTTTGTGAAGGAACATCGTCAATTAGAATGAAAATGCGGGGAATTCTAGAAGTAGGATGGAACATTCCATAGTATTGTCCCAAATAGTGTGAAATTCTGTGTAAATTTAAAGTTATTGTGTATGATTTTGTAGAAAACTTGTATTTATCATGTTCTGTCATTAAGTCTGAAGATGAAATATTAACGTATTATTTTGAAAAAAGTAAGGTAACTGCTGAAAAACAATGGGTGAGCATAGTTTATATATATAGTTCATGAGGGTTTTTATCGCAGGGTATTATTCATTTATTAACGATGTTACGAAATTTTTAGACTTCGATTTTTGCTTATGGCCGAGAAGTTTATCATTACTGCTTAAGCAAGTCCTTTAAATTCATGCATTGTTCTTTATGAATTCTAGAGATGGCATGATGATCATGATTGGGACTATAAACTTTGTGTTATGTATTTACTGTCAGTAATATAGGATAAATTGTAAGTCTTCGAAATTTCTGGCTCAAAGTAGTAAAAGAGAAGTCCAAAAATTGATTCTGTTATCTGGGTATGCTCAATTAAGTCTCGTATAACGTGTATCAGAAGGTGTGAGTTGAAATTTGGGTGCTACCTTCCTAGATTTTCTAAGAATAATGGGTTCAATTACTATTTTGTTGCTGTTAGGTTTGCTGACTTTTCGTTGGCGGAAGTAAAAACAGTAATTTCAACAGAAGGCAATTGGACGTAATTGTTGATACCAAATCAAGTGATTTCTGGTGTGAAAGTTCACTGCTTAAGCAGAACAAGATCAGTGATTTGTACGCTTCATTAAATGGATGATATATTTGCTCTTTCGGCTTTCTCAGTTTGGAGTTAAAGTTAATTATGCCACTTCATCGTGTTCATAATTTGGGACTGCATTATTGCTGTGTCGAATGTACCCTAAAAGCGAATTTTATTTCCACTGCTCCATAATATTCTCAGAATTATATACCCACTTCATTCAGATTAGATGAGGTCATTTTATTTGTGCGAGGGGTGATAGTATTCAACTCTGTGCGATAAAGTCTGCACTTTAAACTTAGTGATTTATTATTGATATTCAAAAAATTGTAAAGCAGCAATACTGTATACTTTTAATCCGGTGTAAGAAAATTGCAGTTTTTTATACAATTTAACTTGGAAAAAAATATTGTTAGCATTTATCTACCCTTGGTACTGTCATTTTGTAAGTCACTTTTGATTCACAGTACTAATGAGCTTGTACATATAGCCACTTTCATAATTATTCCTTATTCTGAAGTAATAGTGGAAATTTTTATTGTTACGGAGCGAAAATTTTCCTGCTTCACCATACTATTATGCTTTAATATTTATAATGATAGCGTTAAAAAGTGCTTAATTTTTCAGGCATATCAAATTGTCATAGGCAATGTAATCATTACTGTGAGTTATCAAGAATGTATCAGAAAATTACTGTATTAAAAATGGATGTATAAAAATGTATAGTTAGATCGTTTTTGTAAAATTTACTCTGCAGTTTATTTTGAAAAGATATTTAACATTAATTCATACATTTTCGCAGATTGTAAGGTCGTTGAAAATGGTGATTTCGCGGACTGTTTTGCTTCAAATCTTAATCAAGCAGTTCAGTCTTGTGCTCCATTAAATATTACTGCTCAAAGTGTATCAAATTAAATGACTGACATACTAAAGCAGATAATGAACGGAAAGAAAATCAAGTACATATGATGTGATGGATGTCAAGGGAAGAAATGCTGTATTATATGAGGAAAGCAGTTGGAAGTTTTTCAATTAATGTTCCTCATTTTGCTAATAGTATATTATTGCTTGTTCAGATGATGTACGCATTGACTGATCATTTTGTTGTTAATCCTGTATTATAATTTGCGATAGTATTGTGCATAAATGAAGAATTGAAGTTGAACGCGAGATTTTGAATATATTAGCGAACACAGAGTGAAGGATGGTTTTAGTTAGAATTAATAGAGTTTTTTAGTTGCAAGATACGCCGTGGAATATTGAAGAGATATTATTATTTCATTAAAGAAGTTTTTCTAACTTGAAAGAACTCCAGATTTTATCCAGGCAGTAATTAGCCTTATCAGCTTGTTGTTGAGTGTGCAGAGTCCTCTGTTTTTCATCCGTATTGTATCGTTTTTAGACTTTCATGCTTTATGTACTTTTATTGTTATCTTAGTAAAGTTGTGAAGGTTTCATAGGGTTTATCGAGTTTTACATGTTATAGCGTTAATCGCGTCTCTTAATGGTTATTGACGTATTATTGAATATTTTTCAGTGTTTAGTAAATGTTGTAAAATTTATAGCCGTCTTCAAGGAGAATTTCCATCTGACAGTGTGTGAATTGTTACTAACTCGCACAAGTAAAATCAGTCCTTAGCTACCAGCAAGTACAGTTGATTTTGTTGGTTTCGTAACTTCTTATACTTTGTTTTTAAATAGTTTAGCATCTTAAGATTAATCTTTGGAAGAGCTCAACTCACCGAATCATAACCATCATTAATATTCGCAGATTTCAATATTATACTTCTTTTTAAATTGCTGTTACTTGTAATTAGTGTGAAATTGAGATCGCCTTGGTACGATATTTAATAACTTATGCTCAAAGTGAGTTATTTGTTTCAGGATTTATAAAGAAAAAATGTCGACGTGGAGGAGACATCTTGGACTTGATGACACTGAGGTAGAAAGTTTCATAACTTTTCATTTTTTGTAATTGTTATGATATGTATTGCAAATTTCGTGGAATTAATAGAAATATCGTCCACTCGATTTATAAGACGGATGAAAAAAATGTCTCTAGCATATTTTAAGTTTATTGAAACCAACCTTACAAGTAGTGCCTGTTCAGTCTTCTAGTCGATCATGAGTTTCATATGGCTTTTTGTACCTATTTTCATTTGTATTCACTTGACGTTCACTTCTGAAAAATTTAACGAGTTATTGCGAAATGTTTAACTTGTTTAAGGCAAAAAAGATTGAGAAACGAAGTCAGTACATTGCTGCTAAAGCTTTAATTAATGTAGTAACTTATCCACTTACGCATGTGAAAATCCTCTTCCAACTTGGTTACGAACCGTTTCCTTTGGCACCCGGAAAATTTTTGTGGTTCTTTCGCGAAGCGTATTTTCTTCCAAACGGCTTCCAGTATGGTTGGTATATATCTTTGTTACTGCCATATTGATAGCAATGAAGATATTTTTCAATATTTTCTAAATTTCTTCGGTAATTATTATTGGTTGCCTAATGATCTGGGCTTATTTTTTAGCCAAAAATATATACAGTCGATGGGGGCTACGCGCACTGTATACTGGTTTGGATTCGTCTGTGTTGTATCATCTAACTGCTGGTTTTGTTGATTTGGCTATAAATGTCGTTAGTTTTCACAATATTGTATCTATATAATATTCTCAGCTATAAGATAACTAATATGAAATTTAACGAAATAATATTTCAAAAGTTAATGGTTATTTTAATAGTCCAAAAGAGTTACGTGAACAAAATTTAATTGGTAAAAAAATACTAGGTAAAAGTCTCAGGTGGTAGTTTTTTTAAACTTTGTGACTTGTGTACAGTTAGTTTTTCAAATGCAGTGTAAGCGTTAATAGATTTTCAAAAAATAGTTATGACATTCAGTCACTACTTTTATCATTAAACAGTGTTAATTTAGTAGTTTTTCAAGCTTCTCACCAATTACTTTCATATTTTTAGTATATGGATCGTCATTATGCTCACATTGGTGGGAAACCCATTAATTTGGACAAAGAAGAGTCGGAAATAAGTGATGCAGAAAGTGCTCGTCGCATTTTTCGTTCTGTTATCCGTGAAAATATTTCTCGCACTATTGCTATTATCGTTTCACGTCCCTTCAGTGGTACAAATTCTTTAATAACTTTTATTTTGCTTATAAGATTCAGGAGATACGGTTCATCTCGATAAACAAATATGGCAGATTTCAGTGGTTATGACTAGGCAAGTCGCACAAATTGTTGGTGGCGAGCTGAAATATCTGAATGTTTTTTCGTCACTACGACTTATTGGCCTTGAAGAAGGTCCAGGTGGATTGTTCTCGTTAGTTTTGACATTTATTTCTTCGTCTGAAGTTGCTGTTTATTAATATAATATTTTAGTTTGCTCTCTTTAATTTGATTATGTTGCTCCAAACACAAGCAGGAGAATCATATATATTTAATACGAGGCCGGTATTCATTTATTAGTTATTGACTTATAATCACAGTGCAGTAGAAGTGAAATTAAGCAATGCAATTGCTGTCGCCTTCAGATATAAACGAGAAGTGTTGAAACGTAACAGGACTCGTAATTATTTCGATTCGTAAAATCTCTTCACTTCATTTTAGTGGCTTGATTCCTCAGTTGATTGGGGAGTATATTTCGATTTGCGGGATTCACTTATTACTTTATGGAATCGAACGTTTTACTTTGCATGCTCAACAAGAAGCTATCGTAAGTTGGTTGTTCAAGCAGTTTTATTTCCATTATAGCGTATTATTGTTTTCTGTTTTTGTCTTCATTCATCCAGCTGCAAAGTCTTAATAAATTTATTTTGTTTCAGAATGTAGCGTTAATTTATTTGATGGATACATTCGCAAATTTTCTAATACATGTGTATGGAATTTAATGAAATAAAGTACAAAGCATGTTTCAGCGCTCTAATAATAAAGAAGAAGAAAAGGTCATAATTGCGGCACGCAGAATGTTGCATTTAGTTTCTTCAGTATTTGTGAACAGTTTTGCGTACCCATTCCAAGTCGTATCAACAGTAATGGCTGTATCTGGTTCAGGGTGAGTTTTTTTCGAATTCGTCAAGTGGCAACTGATAAGTATTATTGGGAGTTTTGTGTTCTGCATCTTGTAGTTGATTAGTTAAGTATTGGTGTTATGTTAAACATGTAGATCTTTAATTTCTAGTCGCATATTCTAGTTTACATGTTGTACATTATTTTGAACTCTGTTACTGATGTAGTAAGCTCCCAAAATTAACCACAACTACTTCTGTTTAGTTTTTCTGGTCTCTTTACTATTCATGAATTATCATTTTAGACTTTTGGTTTCAATGTTACCATACAGTCCACCATTTTACATATGGCAAGAAGTTTACGATTACTTGTTGCCAGCTAATGGATTGAAACGAGGAGCGAGAATATTCTGGCGCGAACATTGTGGAGCTGTTAGTGTGGGTCCTGATCAGGAACTTTATGCAGCCAACAAATACTTTGTGTGAGGTCTTCCCACTGTCATTAATTTGCGGAAACTTGACAAATTATAGTTTTTTCATGATTCAAATAATGCAAACGTTTGTAATAAACAGTGACAGTAGTAAATATGAATCATTTTCTCTCTGCTCCATTTCTCTTCATGAATTGAGCTGAATTATGAAGCAGATATTGGTCAGTTAATGCTGAGTAATGAGCAAATTTCTTCATCATTCACGCTTTTTAGAAAATTTAAAAAAGTATCCTGTTGTCCAGTTAGCTACATAATAAATTTCAGGTGATGCAATAAATTGTTCGACTACAAAACTTTTGAAAACTTCAATGGTTTTTGTGTTTTGCATGGGGTCTAGAGCATGCATGTTGCAGTGTAAAGACAAAGAACAGTGATCAAATTACGAGCCTTTAATTGCATGATTTTTTTTTCATTTTAGATTTCTCACAGGTCAAGAAAATTCCGAATGATCTTGATCTGGTTTGAAGATTTAGCTCTCAATTTTCTCCTTTTTTAATTTGTTCTTCAGGTTCTTCGGTACGATAAACTTTGTGTAATAATCATACCTATGTTACCTTATGTTTTGTTTAATGTTAAATTAGAAGTGCACTGAGAATAAAAATATCATCTCACTTTTAGAATGAAGCATTCAATAACAACTCAGTTCTGAAATCAATTTATTTTCACCATTGTGACTCACTTTCATAAACTACATCCCATAGCTGCTAGTAATATTCAAATATTAAGTTTTTCGATAAATAAAGAAGGGAGTCTATCATTTTTCGCTGCCATGGAATGGGGTTTGAGGTGGCATGTTCAATTTATTCTTAGTTTCCAAATTGTATTCTTTTCTAAAAAATAATTATCGGAATCTTCTACTTGTGATCAGCAGTTCTGAGAAACTAAATCGTAGATTCCCTATACACCTTAATATTCATCTCTTAATATTTAGAGTAATTTGAGCAGTAAAAGTTCAGATTATGACAGTACTATTAGAAAGTGAATGTTGGCAGGAATACCTGCTTACTAGACTGAGCAGATTTCCTCCAAGCTTTGCATATTTGTGATCGCATATATAAAACAACGGTGAATAAGAAAAAATCATTAATGTGTCTGCTGGTGTGGATTGTGCTAGTTTTAAGCCTTGCTTGGTCTTGGGACGTTTTCATACAGCAATATGGCGGAGGAAGAATTGAAACTTATTACTGCAATAGACTGTAATCAGTTCTACATTCTTGTTTTTCATTTTTTAAATGTTGGTATGTAGGTACCAATGAGATTCCAAGTGTTATTGTTAACTTCTGGAGATTGGTTAGTAGAAAATATAGAGTCAGATTCGTCATTCAGCGCTTGAATTCCTTTACTCACAATTTTGAACGGAAGTGATGTGTTAGATTCATATTTTTTGGTATTACTGACCTTGTAAGATTAGATAATTGAAAATAAATGGAAAGAAGTAGATCATTATCAGTAAGTATAGAAGCTTAGTTCATACTTTCCTTCTATTTACGTATGTCTTATACGTGTGTCTTATACGTTATCATAATTTTACTCTTTTAGCTATTTTTTTAAATTGTTATATGTCTACCTGGTCAAATCGAAAGTCATTTTTGCTTGACTGATGAATTATCTCAGGAAAGGTTTTGGATCGCTCGGTTGTAAGATTTCATGCGAGTCCTTTAATTTCTAGCAGATTGTTTAGATAAATAGTCATTAATTCTTCAGATTAAAAAAAATTCCAAGTTAAGGTTACTTCTGTGTAATCATTCTGTAGTTCTTTGGTTTTATGGTCATATTTCCGTTGTAGAAGTAGAAGTAACCAATTTATCATAAAAACTATCATTCTATTGCTTGCAGTACTAACTTTGTAGGTCAGCAAAAGACTGATATCTCTTAATAGATTTATTTAGGTTTAATGAACTGCATATTATCTCGTTATTATCGGAGTCTTGTTTCTGAATGCGTACCTAAACTAATTATTCAAGTTCTGTAACCAAATTATCTTACTTTCCATGTTTGTAAATTACTTTATTTCCAAAAAACTTCACTTTAGGTAAGTCTTCTAAGAGAACAATTTAATATAAACTGAAGGTAAGTACTTCAGTTTGTCACCATTAGTGCAAACTCTTCTATAATTCTCAAACTTGCAAAGTGATTCTTAGAAAAGAATTCATGTAGAATGAAGGTTTACTGAAAAGAAACAAAAGTTTCATTCAAAACAATGCTCATTAATTTTTGTACTTATCAGTTTAGATGCAAGCAATGAATGCCTGACAGCCAAATCAATTCAAGCTCCAGATGCATTGAACGATTTTCAGTTATCGCTGAGTGATACTCGTTACTTTTTCGCGTTATCATTTTTTTGCCTTCTCTAAAAAGATCTTTGCTAATGTTAAATGATCAAATTAACTGAATGCTGCTTAATTTGATTGCACGTTTGTTAACTTTTATTACTAATTTAGTCTACTTTATTCGTCATTTCAGATTTGATTGAATTTCGAAAACAATCTAAAATAGCAAAAAAAAATTATCAACTTTTTATTTTGTTGTTAGTTCAAAATTAATTCAGCACAGTAATATTTATGCAGTGTATGTTATTTCAGAAATATTTTAAAATGTGTGAAATTTATCAAATTCTTGAATAGAATGACAAAGTTAAAAAAAGAAATAATATGATGTGTTAATAAGTTGACACAATAAAATGTGTAATTAGAGGCAATTCCTTAATATTGACTCTTGAATGATTTAGCAAATACTTTTGATTCTTCACTGGAGGTGATCAGTGCTGAAGAGCAAACAACATTGAGTTCTAAGCTTGCATCATTTGTGCAAAAAACAGCTGAAGATGCTTCGTTTACTGCTTCTCAAATATCTTATGTTCAGGTATTTCTTTAAGAACAACCAGTCAAAATTTTTTGTGGTGTCACAGAGTTGGTTGCTAGAAATCTCACTTTACTGAATAAAATTTGTCACTTCAAATCGAGTCATTTATTTTAAAGAAGTCCGACGAGACTGATTTTAGTTTTTAATTCATAAAATATTATTTTATGGATAGAATATTCAAACAATATCACATGTAAATTAAATAGATTTATGTGATAGTAATCTTCTCTATACTGAATGAAGATTCACTTTTATTAGGAGACGGATGTAACGCAAAGTGACAGATACGATGTTACGAAAAAAATACTTTCACGTATGATTAAAAATCTACGAGCTAAGCTCTTGAAAAAAGGTTATTTCATACTATTTTCGGTTGTAGTAATATGATATTGTTTGAGAAATGGTTGAAATAGAAAACTGTGTTTTCCAGTGCGATGCACAAAATTGTTAAATTGGTAAAGCAAGTTAGCTAAAATATTTCCAATTTTTCAAGCATTGATATTTTATGGCAATACTGCCTTATGAAGATAATTTTAGAAAATTCTCGAATAATTTTGATGCGACGAGGTGAAACGGTTTCTGAAGTTGTTGCTCAATTGGCTGGAGATGCTCTCACCGATGAGAAGCGTTACTCGTTAGAATTTACTATTATGTCTTTTTTATTAAGTTGTCATGAAAAATTAGTTGGAGACAAAATTTTATGATAAGAGTGCCTTTGCTAGCAACTCTTTGTTAACGTTTAATGCAGCATTTTGTAACTTGAATCCTCTCTTTTGTATTCTTCTGCTAATCACCATTGGTATAGAAGTTATCGTTATCAAGGCTGACAAAAACTTCATTTAAATATTTGGTGATACTTTCATTCCAAAGTGCGTGTTACACTATGAAATTTGTTTAAAATGGATCAAAAAGTATGATCAGTTAAATCTGTAAAAGAAATTTCCACAATATATAAACTTCACTTTTACTTTCTTAATTGAATCTTTTTTTTTCAAATATTTCCATAAAATGGTTGGAATGTAAACAAACAGCTAGAATTTTGAATTTTTTCAGACCATATGATTCAAGTGTGCCAGATACATTAGGAAATCATGAACGACGTGAACATGTAATGGTACTGTTTATCGAAAACATGGAATGTGTGACGCTTATTTTTAGTTTTCAATGCTTTAGACTTTGCTGTTGTGCAAAATCAAGAATCCATTCCTTAGCAATGCATTATTAAATGTGTAAGTTGGAAGCATGGAAAATTGATTTGTTAGCCACACAAATTACTATTTTAGAGTAAAAAAATTTTCTAGCATAACTGGCATAAACTCATGTATTCAAGGTCAATCCACCACTAAACAAGAGTACTCGTTTTGCAATAAAATTTGGTTCTTCTGAGGTACAAAATTCAGCGATAATGCTGTTTTGTGGACCAGAGAAGGCTGTCATACAGACTGCTCAGCAGGTTATAAATGGTTCTAATACCGGCATAGCTTGGAAAATCGAGCCTGGACTTGCTCGCTATTTCGAACCAAACGAGCTAAAACCAAGTAAGCTAACGGTGCGCAGAGTAAGAAAATCCGTACAAAATAAAAATTAAGAGAATTTGCAGTAAGAAAAGAACCTTGCATTTATTCTTATAAAAATCTGTTCAGACCTTAAAAGGTAATAATTCCGTGTATTTTCTAATTTTTTATGATGAAAAATAAGTGGAATATGTAAAGAGATTAGAAACAATGTAAATTCTGTTCAGCGTTTGATATTAGACTCGGGCAGGAAACTGTCTACAGTATTGAAACTATCAATAAGATTATTGGCAAAGAAACAACTGATGACTTTCACAAACGAATTGAAGAGGTATGCTTGTTCATTCTCGATTTCTCTCAGCTGTTATTGTGTTATTTTTCGCATAATTATTGCAACAATTTAGGTTGTGAAGCAGCTTAAATTCTCACCTAAAGCAAGCACCATGATCATTGCTGAGCATTGTGTTCTTGACTCTATCATGCAGACATTTGTCCGCAACGGCAAAAAGCTAACTCAGAAACAGGCAAGAACCTGTTTAGTTTTATCATTTTTAATCACTATCCTGACAACTACAATCTTTGAAATAAACATATCACGTCACCTCGAAAAATATTAATGTATACGACAGAACCTCAGAAAATACAGATAACAAAGAGATTATTATCTGACACTGCTAATTAACTACATTACATTTGCAGCGAGCATCACTGCCCAAACGCATCCCTCCACTCTCTTTGATGCACTTCGATATTGACCCAAATGGAAAATGGAAACCAAGTTGTGCATCACTTCCAAGCTTGTTGCGTGAAAAGCCTGAGAAGTTAACTGCGCCTGACATTAATTACCTTACCCGACCAACATATGGTTTCTAGTTTTCCGTCTCTTATCATTTCCTTCAAATTATTAGCGTGTGTAATTTCTACTACTTGTATGCTTCCAAAACATGTTTTACTAAGACCTAATATTCCTGGTGACTAGATCTTTTCTTGGACTCACCTACTGATGCCATCATCATTCTCTGCAGTGTTCTTCAAGCCTAACAAAAGATATTTATCCACCGCCAATGATCAAATACCTCAAACATCTTAAAAGTGTTTGTAATTTGCTCCGTTGTACGATGAATAACAGAATAGGAACATATTGGTTGTACCCACCTTTACTGCTCGAATAAAATCTTCTTTATTGTTCAACTCTTGTTTTAAAAGATGATTGTGAAGAATGTAGACCCCGTAATAAATGATAATGAATAACGTAGGATCGGCTATTAGATGTGACGAAGCACTACCGCTCATTCAATGACTTTTGACAACTTATGATTCAGTACACACAAATGTTTACCTTTTTATTTGAGTGCACTGGACAACTGCAATAGTTTTATCGAAAAAAAACTAGAAAACTCAATGAAAATATCACGTCCTACATCACTGCTGCATCCGCACAAAACTGTACGAAAAAAATATGTGAAACCATATTCAAAGGTATTTCTGAATCTCATCGTAAATTGCTAATACTAATGCTCCGCCGGTACCTCGAAAAACATTCGACAGCGCACCTTTAAACATTGCACTCGCACCCTCATTCTTGATTATTTTCATCGCGCAGTCGAATGAATTCTTCAATTTCAAAAAACTGCTTTAGAAAGTATTAATAGCTTTTTCAAGCAGATAGTGATCTTGATCTTACTTCAATAAATGGAAAGAAAGAAAATTGAGATGCGAAAGTACACTCTACAAACTGTTTCTAAAACAACCTTAAGAATACTTTTAAAATAATAATTATGAATAATTAATTAAACATTTGCTTAAGATAAAAAACAGTAAGATTACACTGATTCACAACTTTAAAAAATTTAAAAAGTACTATACCTTATAAAGAATATCTTTACGTCCAGACTGCATCATCATACGACGACGTACAGTATCCCATGGATACGACAAAATACCAGAACTTACTGTGACGATCTGTGCAATCATCCAAGCAAAGAAGAAGTTTAATTTTTTTTCGCTAGCCACCAATGTTTTTACAGTATCAAACATACCAAAGTAGGCAGCACGGTAAATAATGATCCCTTGTACTGACACCAGGAAACCTCTGTAACATGATGGGATTCATAAAACATCCTACTTTTTTAATGTGCTTTAATATAAAGTTGTCTTTCAGTGAAAGCAAAATTTCTATAGAAAAAGAGAAAACATGCCTATATAATCCAACGATACCATCTGATTTCGCAACTTTCACAATACAATCCGTCAAACCTTTAAATTCGCGACTTTCGCCTTTCCCGATATCAGCTGCAAGCCGTGTCCGAGCAAAATCTAGCGGATACACAAAGCACATTGATGCAGCACCAGCAGCACCACCCGATGCAAGATTTCCCGCAAAAAATCTCCAGAACTGTTTTTCCTTGTCTATGCTAAAAATTATTTTCACTCAAGAACATTGGACATTGCAACTGCAGTGAACTCTGAGAAAGTGAGTAACTTTTGAAACACGAAAACCATCTTAGTTTAACTAACAGTAAAGTATGGCTCACCCTCCCATAAACATTTGCTTGAATGTATCCTTAAAAGCGAAGTTAAGTGCCTGTGTAGGAAAATATCGGATCACATTGGCTAAATTACCCCGCCATAAAGCAGTTAACCCTTGTTCCTTTGGAACTCGAATCAGTACATCAATAATACCTTTGTACCGTTTTTCAACCGCGATTGTTTTCTGTGCATCTTGCACCTAAATCAAATTAATAACACTCATACACAATACCAATGCTAAAACGACCTAATAATAATGGGAAAGTATTAAAGCAAAATGTGAAATATTAAGATGTAGATACAAACGCACCTGCAACAATATTTTCACCCTCTCAATGGGTGCAACTGCTGTTTTCGATATTGCAGCAGCAGTCCCACCCGTTGCCAAATCAATAAAAAATTTTTTCGCATCGAAGTTTTTAATTTTATTCATAGCTACTTTTTGGTTGCCTGAAACAAAACATTATAAACAAAAATACACTCATTTCAAAGAATATTGCTCACTTAAAGATATAAAACCAGTTGTGTTCGCAAAAATGAGTTTTAGTGCAATTCACAGAAATTTCATTTCAAATTTTAAAATGACAATGAACTGAACTCAGTGAAACACACGAAAATAACTTCTTGTTATGTACATATTGTCCTATGAATTTCTTCATGATGTTTGAACTCGAATAATGCATTTGATTATTTCAAATTGTAATTATACCGAACTGTTAGAATTCATAAATAAATTTCTAAAGATTCTGCTTGAGAAACAAAGGTACAAATAATTCTACTAAAAAGCCTAAACTAGCAAGGCTCTTATCCCATCCAAACATCCTTAAAAATTAAGACTACAATAATTCGAAAAAATTATCTCTCTGGAACAGAAATCAATGGGTTGACAGTTATGTTGGTTATTAGTGAATAATGAGTAAATCATAACAACCTTCCGCCATCTCTTCCGCTAAGTGATCAATTTATCCAGGATCGTCTGGGAAAAATCAGCTTCTACCTGAAAATAATAATAAACATAAAAGAACAGTAAAAATGACTGAAACTGAAACAGAACCATTCGCAAATACCTATCATGAGATGAAAAAACTAAACATGGCTGGTTATTAAGCCCTTCATTCGTAAGGCGCACTCGTAAAAATAGAGTGATTAATATAATGAATCTTCATATTTCTACAAGTAAATCGTCCACTGCCCACTGCCTTTATGAAATTCTCGCTAAATAGCACAGTTTTGATTACGTCAATTAACACTGAAATTTCTGCTCGCACTTTATCATGGCTTTCTCAGTTAGGTGCGCTATTGCTGTCTTCCATTATCCCACGCAAGTTGCAGCAGTCCCTTCGTCGTACTATTTAATTGCAAATAAATCGTCCACTGCCTTTATGAAATTCTCGCTAAATAGCACAGTTTTGATTACGTCAATTAACACTGAAATTTCTGCTCGCACTTTATCATGGCTTTCTCAGTTAGGTGCGCTATTGCTGTCTTCCATTATCCCACGCAAGTTGCAGCAGTCCCTTCGTCGTACTATTTAATTGCACGACTCACGCTACGCACCTTGTTTTTAATTTTTAAAGATCCAACATAGAAGTTACTGGCCCGAAGTAGCTACCACTGATTGCGATATCATTTGGAATCAAGGTAGGTGCACACGAAGAAGTTATAGACTCCATTAGGGCCCGCTGCCTTTCAGCTGGCGAGTAGGTAATTATATTCACGAATTCGGTATCAGATAGTAAAGTATCATGCACTCTATAACCTGCAACGCATTCTTCCAGATATTCGTTTGACGGATATCGTCATCTTTCCCCATCCCCAAGTTCCACATCGTATGCCGGAGATTCCTGGTTTCTTTTGTCATTACATAGTGGCTGACAGGCTGTTCTTCGGTTAGATATCTATAAAACTGTCTTCTGAACAGCTCAAATCTAGCTACTGGATTCTGAATCCACATACAAACTTTTATTTTACTTTCGGAAACTGTTACACACTTTGTCAGCATGTTTAGGCCTCATGACAGTCACTTTAAGAGTAAGTATGAGATTCATGCCTCACATAAATTTCTTGGTCTCCCTCAGGATTTGTCTTTAAGTACATTACCACTCTAGCGGGTTTTGTGGAATTTATGCAAACTTATCTTCTTTTCTATGCTTGCCTTCCATCCCGATGGCTTCTTCTCTCACCTTGTCATGCCTTCATTCCATTGTTGTGTCACCTAAAACTGCCTAGTAATATCGGTTATTGATCGGACTTCTGTGTGGCATATTCACCAGCTGCTTGATTTACCGCTCCAAGTATATGCGAGTTAACGCTCACCGACGTTATTTTCCACGTCCATTTGTCTAGTTCATCTAACGTTCCTGGGCTTCTTGCGCCGGCACCAGGTATTTCTCCTTTACATGGTATTAAGGAAAAAGAAGCTGGCATAAAAATGACATGCCAGGCGCATTGTTATATTCCTTAATGAGCACATAAGTAATCTTTTAATATACCACAATCAACAAAAATTACTTAGTATTGCATTTAATTCATGAAAAAATTAATGACACTTTGCTGAGAAATTTAATACGTTATAACATTCAAATGTTTTTAGAGTACTTTTCATAACAAACAACGAATAAATTAATCTTCAACAATAAATTTAATATAAATTGGATACCAACGAGTGCACGTCTAATAAATACAAGCAAACGTATAACGTGAAAATGCGAAATAACACTGGTAGAATTGATGTGAAACTACGATGAAAAGTGATACAAAAGGTCATCAGACCTTACGACATCGTATAATGAGTGCATAGTGCAAAGCAAATAATGGAACACTTACACAAGCAGACGTAAGATACAAAGATAAAGGGAGAGTAATGGAAGAAGGGTAGAGAAGTAGACAAAAAATGAATTTTCATAGAAATAAATGCGTTAGTCGAAAGGAAGGAACAGTGGAAATCAATATAGAGATATACGTTGTAAGATTAAATGCATTTAGTAGTGACTGATTGGTTCATCACAGCCGGGAATATAAAATATGTAAATATAAGCTTAGAAGTTTATTTATATATAAATATAAATAATAAATAAATAAATACAAGTATATACATATAAATGAATAACTATATATATATAACCTTAGACTATTTATTCAGTATATTTTCGTATACCAGTTACCAGTTACCATCACTCTACCTCAGTCGTGAGTGGGATAAAAAAATTGGAGAAAAGATTATTTAAACTTTGTAACAGCAAAGGAAAATGTAATGTGTCAGGGAAAGAATGTTAAGTGAGATGACACGGAAACGTAACTGATTGAGCTAGTAAGCTTAGATTGGTATTGGATGAGAGGGATCTACCTGCAGACACAGTTAGCTATGTTCTTATTACCTTCTGCTGATAATATGGTATAGTTTTGTTTTTTATAAATAAGAAAGTGTAAAGGAAGAAGTGCAAATTCACTCAAACTTCAGAGAACGAAAATGACAAAATTATTAGTCGCTAAGTTGTAATATTTGAATTGCCAATTAGCACCGATTTTTATTCTGTATGCTATGATGATGTAATAAGTGACGATGAATGATTAAGTGGTAAGAGTGCTGGTATATATGTGCATGTATACACGTAGACACATTTATTACCAGGCTTTAATTTATTCAGATTATAGTAACAAGTGGTAATCGTGTTTTTAAGCACACTCAACTAATTTGAAGACAAGAACTGTTGTAAGTCGATTGGTTGTCAATCAATTAGTTGATTAATTAATTAATCAACCAATTAGTTAATTAATTAACCGATTAGTTGATTAATTATTTAATTAAATTAATCAATTAGTTGATTGATTAATTAATTAACCAATTAGTTGATTAATTAACCAATTAAATGACAATTAACGCGTTAACTAACAAACAGACTGATTAACTAATTGACTAACTAACTACCTAACTGACTAACTGACTAGCTTATCATAAAGCTAGTTAAACTAGTCGTGAAAAAAAGTAAACATAACTCCACCGTCACAACCCGCACTTGCAAAATTGAAACGAACAACTTCTTTGTGATACAAATTTTGGTTAAGCTTCATATCTTGTTCACTCAATTAGTGCTAACTTCAATCGATAGGTGAACAAGCAACTTATCTTATCAATGCGAACGGCTTACAAAAATTTGTTTTCATGCATTTACTTTTAAGAGCAATCTTAAGCATAACACATAATTCATCTACACTTTTACTCTGAACTAAGTCTTTCTAGATGAGATCACTTTAGTGTCATCATCGATGAATAAACAACTTACACAAGTGCAAGAAGGCACTGTAATGGGTAAGGGCAGTTAGCTTACTCTTTTATCAGGCCAACTCTGCAGCAAATGAAAAGAGAGACGAGCTAGCTAAGATAAGCATTCATTCCTTCCATGGAGTATTTCAGTTAACAGTTAGCTAAGAGTATTGGAAAGGCTTAGGTTTGTGAAAGAATTGTTCGCTACTGTTATTGAACTGACTCATTTACGCGCGAATAACGGATTATTAATTTGCGAAGTGAGTTTCGTTACTGACTGAACACGAGCAGTAATTCGTTTTTTTAAGTTCAAACTATGTTCTGAAGCGAACCAAAGCACTCTTCTCTCTTTTCTCATCTTATCTTCACTATCGTTCATTGATTGAGCTATGTGAGCTCTCCATTATCACAGCTTTCGCTAGCAAGAATTTGCAGATTAATTACTCTGAATATATTGCGAAGACTGACGACAACTTAGTGAATGGATGAATAAATAAATAATTAATTAATTAATTAATTAATTATTTGGAGACTTAAAGTTACATTAAATCCAATGCTATTACGAAATGACTTACAGTTGTACATTAAAAAAGAAAGATAGGCATATTTTGCAAAATTGTACAAAATAAAAATGTCGAGTGAGAGTAAGCATAAAGTTGAAATAAACTCCCATTTTAGCAACATCGCTTCGCTAACACAAAGCTATTTGCGATGCAAATGTTAATGAATTGTTGTTAGTTAACTTTATTTCATTCTGCATGATTACAATACTCAATATATTACTTAGATGAATTACACAAGAGTTAAGTCAATTTATGCGTTTGAATCATAAATACAGACCAATGTGAGTATTTTTTGTCATACTGTTACTGTTATCAAAAATTTAACAAAGTGACAAGTTTGCTTGACAGTCAAATAATGCAAGAATATGTCCAAGTTGTCTTATAAAAGTTGGATAGACTAAAACTTGTTCTGTATCATTTCTACAATATTAGTTCTCATTAAATTGTCTTATCTAGTATTCAATTACTGCTACCATTTTCTTTATCAAACTGAACGGAAACCTGTGCTACTTTTTATTTTTATTTTATTGCTGAAAAAAAATTACATAATGTTGCACATCACGTTCTGCTACGAGTATATGATTCTCTAGATAATTTTTTACTATAGTAAAAGTTTGTCTCACTACCGATGATAACAATGTTTTTCATCTTGCTACAAATTTTATGCATTATAACACTGTCTTTCAAGTCAAAAGATAAGTCATTCTTATATGCAATTATAAAAATAAATTACCTATTACTCATTTTTCACGTGCTTTATAACTATGATACTTTTGGGTATAGAACGGAGTATTCAATGTAGCAACTTTTTTCCATCATCTCATATTAATACTTTTAATGTAATCGTTTTTCTATTTTTAATCAAATATCATAATCTTTTGATAACTGCAATTTGTTCCCTTTAATTTTATTGCATACTAATGTTCAAAATCAAAATAATGGAACTATTGCTTCCTTTTCATGACCTCACATAACTTGCTACTAAGAGATATGCTTGTTTCCTTGCGACCTAAATAATGTAACATAGCGATATCGTTGTAACACAATTTTAAAATGTGCACCATAAATGCAGCGGTCAGCTGCATGTATGATCAGTATTAGCTTGTTAAGGGTGTGAGGTTACTTACTTAAATTCATCTTATTTCTATTTCTGAACCCCAGAACTGAATATGTAGTTGACTGAGTTTGCGTGAAGCAAATGTTAATTATTTCTTAGTGTATGATTTATTGATGGAATTTTTTGAAAACAGATCTTGTAGTGTATTTTTCATTACAGCTGTAAGAGTAATAATTTGTTAATTATGACTGCAGGAGTGCATGAGTGAAAGAAGCCCTTTGATAATACGCTTGGAAATCCAAAGTGGTGCACCGGATATAAAATTCCAATTTACAGCATCTCATAGTAATTATCTTAAAAAAAATTTATCATGAACTAAATTTTGAGTACAAATTTCTGCCAGTCAAATCTATTACACTGCATTGTATTATATAGACAAAACTTTTTAAACTTTCGTTAACAGCAAAATTTTAGAGGAAAAGTCTGTAATAGTACCAGCAAAGAAGTTCATACAGGAGAAAAACAAACAAGAGAAAGCCATTGTGCGTGTAAAAATGGATGGTGACTTTCTCCCACCAGTTGCAGTGCACAAAGGAACGAATCAGGTAGTTCTATGGCAAGCAGTGACATCAATGACTTTTTAATTTTACATTATATCAAAAATGTTGCGAATATTGAATTGAGCTTTTCAGGTTGAAGCAAAGCCGACTCAAGCGCAATGCCTGGGTAATCGAGAGTATTCCGAAGTTGTTGTTCAAACTTTTGTTGAAAATAAGACATTACTAGATGGACAAGGATCTGTTATGAAAGATGGAGCTTCATCAGTGGTATCTAGTGTAGCTGCTTCTTATTCAAAAGCAATTGTTGAGAAATCCGGTCAGTATCAATTATTTGTCTAGTTTATGACTAGATATTGCTGAGATCATCCAAATTTAAGATGTTGGTATCATTTTTGAGAATCACAAATATTTCCTGAAAAGTCTTATTGTTCATAACTCTTTACTGTTTATATAAAGCTGAAAAATTTTTTAGAGCTAGACAGCATTTCATTCTTCTCAGGGAATCCTTTTGTGGAGAAAACGTCCGGAATTCTTCATTTTTATAAACAAAAGTATCTTTTGGTTTTTTAAAATCCGTTTAAATCTCTTTATTTACAAAGGCGTCAATCAATTTTGTTTATCTATGAAAACGATTCAACAAACTGATTCTAGGGATGTAAGTTCAGCGACTGCGATGAGTGATTGCTCTATACTTTGCATGCTAGCTGTTCCGTCACTAATTTCATGTCGCGAATTGTTAAAATTTATCGCTCCTAGCTCGCAGTATATTAATGCGATGAAAGTTATTCGTGACTCAACACCTAATCAATATATGGTCATCATTAACTTCCGCTCGCATGTTAGTATTCATTGTTTGTAGCTTATTGTTGTTAGTAAAATGAACATAATTTATTAAGATTGCATCAAATGAAAAATTACGTCGTGTTTGGTATTTTGTTTTTTCATTGTGAAAATATAGCGTTTTTAACTACCAACATTTTTAATTTTTCATTTGAAGGATGCTGCTGTTCGGTTTTATGACGAATACAATGGCATTACATACAATGAAATTGAACCAGAAGAATGCTCTTTAATTTTCGTTGAAAGAATTGAAATGGTAAGCGTTTTACTCAAGCATTTAATTTGTAATTGTGGAGCTAGTATTTTATGGAGAGAATCGTCATTAATAATTAATTTATCAGAACGTATTGTTTTATGTTTATTTTTGTTATAGGCCAAAGACCGTAAGTCTTGCAAATCTATAAAACTGCTTTTGCAATATCTGTGGTATGTATTAAGAATTGTATTTTAAAGGTTCGGGAAGAAGCAGGTGGAAGTTTACCTTCTGAAAACATGATAGAATTACCAACTTGTGCAGTTTGTTTGGAACGTATGGATGATAGTGTGTTGACTATTCTGTGCAACCATACTTTTCATGCTGGATGCTTAGAGCAGTGGGCAGATACAACGTAAGTGTTAGCCACATCATTTGAATTTTTTTTGGTTAATTATATCATATATGAATGATTCATTCTGTACGTTGACATTATTAGATGCCCTGTATGTCGGCAAAGTCAAACACCAGAATTAGTGGCAGATCAAAAATGCTCTGACTGTGGAAAAACTACAGATCTTTGGATCTGTTTAATATGTGGCAATATTGGTTGCGGTCGGTATGTGGAAGCTCATGCTTACAGGTAAGTACAGAATTGTTAGTTTGGTTAGTTTTTATGAACCGATTTGATTTTCTTCAACTTTTATTTTTGCATTTTTCTTAAGCTAGATTAACAATTATGACTTATTATTTATACATTACAGACATTTTGAAGCAACTTCACATACATTCACTTTGGAAGTAGGTGGTGAACGTGTATGGGATTATGCAGGCGATAATTATGTACATAGGCTGATCCAGAGTTCTCCGGATGGAAAAGTGGTTGAATATAAAAGAAGTGCAGCTTGTGATAGTGGAGTATGTGATAGCGGGGTTTGTTTTCTCTAAACATTTCTAGTGAGAAATGATTTGCGTCTTCCTCCTGTTTTATTAAATTGAAACTTGAAAAGTAAAGTATAGGAAAGTGCTGGAGAAAAATTGGAGTCAATCCAGCTTGAGTATACGTGTTTGCTTGCGAGTCAGTTGGAATATCAAAGAGTATTTTACGAAAACAAAATGAATGAACAAGAACGATTATTCAGTACTCTGGAGAAAGTCAATAATGCTCAGGTTTTTATCATATTTTTAATAAAGTCAGGAAATTAAAAAGAAGGATGAATTTTTCTTGTTGAGATATCAGTAAACTGTCATTTCTCTTTAAACATATCTTTGGTATTTTTTTTGTTGAAAATCCCGTAAGGAATGCGTTGTTGCTAATGTCTGTGAGGAAACCTTGAACCTATTCTAAACGAAAGTACATTAAAGGTTGAAACTCTTGAAAAAGAACTTCTGAAAATGCAAGAAGAATGCGAAGAATTGAAAAAGACTCTGACATCCTGTTCACAGCAACGGCGTATGCTTGAAAAAAAACACCGGGCAGTTCAGGCTAAATTGAGCAAAGCAATAAATACTTTTCATATTTTGAACTGCTTTTTTAAAATTTACCTCAAACTTTTTGTGATACAAGCTTCACTTACATCTATTTTATCAGACTTTTAAAATTTTCCTATGATTATATTTTTAAAATTCAGGTTGTATGTTGTTGGATAGATTTTTTACGCATGTTTTTCAACTTCATTTCACGTTATTCATGCTTTTGATTATATAGACACTGACGGAATTGGAAGAAGAACGTGCTTTAAATGTGGTGCTGCGATCTGATCAAGAAAAGTGGTTGTCAAAGTTTAAGCAAATAGAAGCGAGAAACGAAAGTTTAGAACAGAAATATTCTGATGTAAAAATTTTTTTATAAATATTGAAATACGCAGAAAATAGAGAGAATTATATAATTTTTCAGACAGTAAAAGATCTTAATGAGCAAATTCGTGATTTGATGATGCATTTTGAGACTGGAGCTCAAATTCAAAGTGCGGTTCAAAGAAATGAAATAACTGAAAAGGTTACTTTCAAAGTCTATATACAATAGTAATAGCTCAAGCAGAAAGTAATTAAAGAAAGTCTTAGTTGTAATTTTTTGTTGTTTGTCTTGGTTGAGTTCGATGTATTGACATAAGGAAGGATATAATCGCATAGTTTTTAAATTTATTAGGTAATTTATTATTGAAAATCTAAATTTTTTTTTACCAAAAATTGGAAATATTCAGGAAATCACCGAAAGTAGCGTTGTTGTGGGAGATGCACCACAGCAATCCCAGTCCAAAAAGCGCAGACATAAGAAGAAGTAAATATGTCATGATAGTTGTATATGTGGTAGAAAGTATTTCTATAATATTTTAAGAGTGCTTTTTTTATTTTTTATTCAGATAATGGGGATTCTTTTTTCGTTTTTGTAGTTTGGTCGTTCAGTTGGGTCGTTCAGTACTGTAATTTCACTGCCATGTTTTATTTCGTTCTTTCACTCGTCAGAAATTTTGCCACATTAAATCCTAATTCACTTCGTAAATAAAATTAATCAATAAAACATTTAAATAATATTTGTTTTGTGTTATTTGTGAACAGTAACTTTTAAATATTAGGAAACTGCATAAAAATTCAGTCTTCGTTGCCAATTTTGATAAATTATTCGAACCTATGGAATTTAAGAACCCTAAAGTTAAAAAAAATTTACTTGTAGTACTGCTTCAGTTGATGGTTTTTCTACTTTATCCGCAGCTGTAATTTCTATTATGGAATGGCGTCTTTGATTTCTTTATTATTAAATTTTTTTTCTTTTTATCTCACAACAACATAATTCTCTTGATTGTCAAAATGAAATTTTTCATAGCATGCAGTCAAGGATAGTATCTTGACCCCATATGGCATAAAATTAATTATTTGGAATGATATAAAACAAAAAGTGGCGTTCCGAAAATAGAGAATAGCAAATATTTTCGCGAGAACATATTTGGGTCAGCACTTTTGTGGGTTCGAGACCTTGATATCATTTCTGTGACAAGCAGGAGATAAAACTGTCTCAACTTCTAAAATGTGTCATCTTGGCGCTCTTCTGCGATCATTTTATTATTTCCGACATCCAACTATCCACCATAGGTGCATAGAGTACTGTGCATTCTTCCGAAAAATTGTGATTGCTTTTGTGATATTTGTAATTCTAATGTATAGTATCAGAGTTGACAAAAACTGTTGTGTATTTAAGTCTTGCAGAGTGCCTTTGGTTTTTGCTGATCGTTATTTAAAACTATTCATATATAGTGAGAATTCGAATATATTTATTAAACATGTATGTGGTGATGATGCAAAAATGGCCATATGTTTACATGTCAATGAGGTCAAAAAATTTCAGATAAATTTATTTATTCCGAGTTTGGAATACTTTAAAAAGCATAAATAGGCTATATTTGAATGCAAAGGAATGTCGAAAGATTGAAAATTACTGAGAAAATGTGCTGGTTTAGTGTCGTTTTTTGTAACTCACATATGTTTAATGTAAACAGCTTTGAAGAGTATATTGCAGTAGAATACCACTTTATTCTTACTAATTATTTTAGTCATTCTGTAATCAAAATAGTTGGGGAATTTTCTGCTGTTCTTTATATTGTTCCGAAAATTTTGCATTATTTCTTGATATATATGGAGTGCATGCAAGATTCTGAATATCGTTTTTTGATAGATAAGTGTTAAGTCTTATCTGTTCAATTTTAAAATTGTATGTGTCTGTTTTACAAGCAAGACATTGATCCAACAAGATTTGTTATATATTTTTCGTGTAAAAAGTATTTTCTCGTTTGCTTTATTTGTCAATTTTCTCGTTATTGGCTGGCATTTACTGAAAACTGGTATGAAATATTTGATTGTGAAGAAATAATCATTTTCGTTTTTTTAGATTGAAGTGATTTAAGAAATGTATTTGTGTTTATATCAACCATATGGTACCATCTTCTAGATGCACAACAAATAAAATATTTTGTATTTTTCTTTTTTTTTTGTTGATATTTTTATATATTTTTTATTTTCAATTGGAATTTACAACATTCGCACATGTGAATGTTTATTTAATCTTTTTTAAATTAAAACAAAAGTGTAAGCAATTTTTTCGTGTAAACGTGAAATAGAAAGCAATCGTTATGAAGCAAGTAGTGCATTAAGATGTCTTTAGACTCTTTTTTTTCGCATACAAATATGCTACTAATAGATTACTCTTCAAAATTTCCAAATTTAAAAGCAAAAAAGGCGTTTTAAATTGCATAAATGAGCGTTTTTGCTTTGCTTTGTTTTTAAAATAATTTTATTTGACAAAATAAGAATGAATGATAATATCTTTGTATACATTTGTTTACACGAGATAAGATCACATTTTTGTGTAAATCATTCAGTATGAGAATTTTTATGATTTTCAGACGTTACTAACACTTACAGCAAGTAACAATAAATCAGTATTAATAAATCAGAACCAAACTCGACCTGCTATTGAATTGAAATGAACCTTTGATCTTATGTAGTGTACTTGCAAAACTGGTAACATACTTGCTCTTTTAATCACGTTTCTGTCGAATAATTCATTTACTTATAGTAGTTAGTAGTGGTCGGGCATATAAATGTAGTCTAATGTTTATTCTCTTCGCAGCAGATTTTTTGAGTTTATTCGTAAAATTGCAAAAAGAAACTAAGTATAAATGTGTGGAACAACTGTTGAACAAAACCGTTCTTCAGCATTTTCTGCAGATTTACTGTTTTGCATTTATGTTTATTTTTTTGAATCTGAATAACGCATTTCTCTTTTAATGATATCATTCCTTGATGATATGCATTCTTTTGCTGCAGTATGTATATCTGTTATAAGTTCGTTTCAGATTTCGATGAGTCATTCATCTTCAAAAATTTACATTTGAAAAAAAAAAATAGAAAAGTGGTGATGGTGATTCATCATTCTAATGCTACGTCATTATTATATATAGCGTCGAAAATGAGGATATGTCTAAAATTTAAACAGTCATGCAGTCAGTGTTCATCCATTTCTTTTATTTCATTTCTTCACTACCCGTTATCATATAGTATGACATGAACATTTTTAAGTTTACCGTGAAAAATAAACTGCCTTCTTGTCTTTAGCAGTAACGCTTTAATTTTCAAACGGTTTACACTTTGTTATTTCCATTGCTAAGATAACTTTTCATTTTTACGTGTAAAATTTCACTGTAATAAGTACTACTTTTATAGCATTGATCCTTGTCGAATGATAACTAAAGTTAACTAAATAGCTAATTTTTGAGAAAGATTACTAATACGCAAAAGTGAAAGTAATTTAAGTATTTTTAGAAATGTAAGTAAGTTCGAGTAATGAATTCTTCAATATGTGTGAAAAGTGCCCAACTGCAATATCATCATCCCCTTGTAACTTTTACTAAATGCTGAGTACAGATCAACAACTTACATAATAATGCCATCTATTCATTTTACTTTTTGCCCTTAATAGTGGTGTGAAATTGGCTGTATTCTTACCGAAATTTTTCATTCTATCATTTGCTAACCTTTGGAATAGATTATTATCAATTCTATTTATTGTATACAATTTTCATTTTACTTGTAAAAGTAAAAATAATTTCTCATATATGCGAATTTTGTTTATTGTTGCCTTTTATTGCATTGAAAATTTTAATACAAAACACAAACAAGTAGTTAAACAATGAATATGGCTGATAGAAAGTTAAACTGAATCAATCTCTTCCATAACAATTTCAATTTGATAAGTAATGGCTGTTTGCCAAATTAAATACTGGTTGTACTTTATATTTGACACCTTTCAACTTTCCACATTATCTTTCCATAAATCATTCTTCAGAGTCAAGTCATTCCTTCTTTACTTATATGAATCAAAGTTTCATTATAACTTTACTTTTCAGTGACTTGCAAAATACGAAAAATCTCGTTTTCTTGTGCAGTAATCATTTGACATTTTACACTTTCACACTCTTATGCTATCTATAATTTAATACAGTGAACAATTGGCATTCATAAATTTGTCGTAAAAAAGGTTTACAATAATTATTGCATTAAAAAGTTAAGTTTAATTCTTATTTATTGTAGATATAGTAGTAGCACTATTTAACATCTTACATTTGCACACTCTTGTAGACATTGACCTCTTTGACTATTTTTCACCTCTGTAAAAAAAATCAAAAAAGTAACACTATTGCTGCTAGTTCTCAATATTTTTCGAGGTAGTGAATGTAAAACTAAAGCAACTTTTATTTGTGTTACCTCTCTATGTTGCTTGTTGTGACTTATCAAATGCATAACAAGCCTGTAGTTAAGAGCACAAAAACAGTTAGTGAGTTTATTGTTTTTGCTGTTAAAAAATCATAACGAAATTAAAATGATAAATATGATTTACTGTCAAAGACTAGATAATAAACAAATTATTTAATAATTTCGCTTCACGCGTGAATAATTGTTGTCATAATACGTTTTTGAAAATAGCAGTTGGAATAGTTTCAGTAATGAGTCTGTATTTTTATTCAAACGCCGAGTAAAGAACATGTATTAAAATAGTTGCCTAAGCTCGGGGCTATAAATTTGAGAGAATGCTGCAGATAGTTGAAAAAATAGTTAAAACGTGTTCTGCATAACAAACTAAAAAATATGCATTTTCAGTAACAATTTTTCGCCAGAATAAGATGAAAATTATAAAGAAGTTGTAAAGATAAATATAATTTTCTGCCAAATACTAAATAGCAAGCATGTACTCTCTTTATTTATTGAAGAAATTCTACTTAATATTACTTTTAAATGTTTGCGATTTGCCAAAATAAGTTTTATTTTAACATTAAAGGTGCAAAAACTTAATAGGTTTGGGAATATTGTGAGAAACTGTAAAACAGTACAGTTTAGCACACTTAGTAATTGGCATATTTTTGAATGATTTGATGGATTTTAAAATAGTTGTACTATTAACCTAATTAACAGCCAACTAAGAAGTATACCAAACCATCCATCTATTCTTTTAGTACTTACCTTTCTTACTTCTAAATCTTTATGAAACTTTTGTTAATTAATAAAAAGCAATAATGGTGGAAGACATGCGTAATGCTGTGCATGTCAGCAGCGAACTTGATTTGTTATAATTGGTGGGCAAAAACCCAGTTTTGTGATTTTGGATGAGGAATGATATGAATAAGAGATAAGTTGCTTTCTGCAGCCACTTCTGTTTCTCACTTTAATTGTTAGCAGTAGTAAGCAATAAATGATATAAAAGTAAGAAGTAATACTATCTATACTTTTGTACAAGAATTGTCTAATTGAGCATGCAAAATATCAGTCAAAATTAATTTTTACTCTATCTTTTAGCAATGATTACGAGATATTTTTAACGTTTTTCTTGTTGTATTTGTCATTACTTAGAAACAAACTTCATCAAAAAGCACAATGTTGCTAGCAGTTTTCATTTCTAACACAATGATTGTCTAAACATATTTAATGAAAAATAATATATGCAGTATTTACATCACTTGAGCCTTTAAATTCAGGATTTGAAGTTTCTCATCATTTATCCGTCTGACATAATTTTGATGTATTAAAAGAATTCTTTACATAAAATTGCTGAATTTCAAACATTATATCTGAAAGATAATATTTTAATTGTCTTCAATTATTTCGTTTCATAGAGACAATTTCTTGACAGTCATTGTCTGATCCTGTTTGATTTAGTGTTTTGGCCAGATTTTGCAAACATTTTTCAAAATCGAGTTGGTGAAATTATATGTCATCAGAACTGCTCATTATTTCCAATCTCTTTTTTCTTAAAATTTAAATTAACAAAACGGAAATGAGTTACTGATTATAATGATATTAATATTAATAATAAATAATATTGATAAAATATTCATTTAATTTGATAAATAATAATATCATTAATATTTATTGCATAGATAAATAATATATATAATAATAAATTTCTTTTTACTGAAAATTTCTTTCGAACTCTAAAGATTGAATGCTGTGTTAAAATTAGACTGCTAAAAATTAGATTAAATAGTTATTGATACTGTTATTTTTAACAGCAACATAACATACCATTGCTGCTTTCACTTGTTTTCGTAGGATGATTAATTAAAATCACACAGGATGCCAAACCTGACTTTATTACATATTAAGATCGTTGGCGATTCATACTCGTTCTTTCAATGACAAAATACTATTTAAATTTTAAATCTTTCTATCGTTTTAGTTTAAATTATTAAAATGTAGTAGAGATTTATCAAAAAAATGTGACCACTGTGACAATAAACAAATGAATTTTTAATAATTTGACTCAAATATAAAGTAACTTATAAATCTTTTTCACCGTTGAGCATAGAGTTAAATTGATATGCAAATAATTAAACTTGATAATAAAAAGTTTCTTACTTGTGTCGTCAACACTAAGATTAAAAACTTTTCAAAAATATTTATAAACGATTAATCATTGCAGTGACTTTTGTTTGGCTGTTTTTGATTGTCATTTTAAAGAAGCTGTAATTGCATCTGTTTGTTCTAGAAACGAGGGAACTTTTAACATCATATGATAAATATTAATTGTTTTCGTCATTTTGTATTTAAACAATTTTCCTGCCTGATACTAATTATTGTTTGGCTTTTGTAATAATTCATATCGTGGCATTGATAACAATTAATTCTTGTGCTGACTTCGTCTGCATGATCAACTACGACTCTTTTATAATTTAAAAAAATATTTTATCCTATAGGCAAGCGAGCATATCACATCTGGCCAATACGTCAATACAAAAACTATGAAGCTTATTTTTTGGTATGTTTTGTTTTTGATTTATTTCAATCTATAAACGGTTTTACTAACAGGTTACCAAATTACTAGTTTTTTGTTAAAATCACTTTTTTGAAAGGTATAATCACAACAATTTTGCATTCAAAAACCTTGCTCATTGCAATTTTGATTTTCCTAACTGGCAAATAATAATGATAATCATTAAAAATTGTTGTCCCTTGTAATAGTAAAACTGGAAATATTTGAAAGCAATTTTTTTCAATACATTTCGCTCACAGTTAAAAATAATTTAGTATTTAATTACTTTTGAAAAGTTTACGGCAATTTTCAATTCAAATTTATTGTATCCAACTTTTTTCTTTATCATTTTTTTTCACAATATGTGCACGTTTTTGCATAATTACTGCAGTTTGAAACGAAATACATGAATGCAGTAGCATAACTGTTGACATAATACTTGTTATTTGAGATTAAGTATAAATTAATTTTTTTGATAATTTTGTTTAACTTTCAAAATTTAAAATATTTATTTGTTTTTTGTATAACATGCATACAAAGTTTATCAGACTGATGGTTATATATTTTTGCACAGTAATTTTAATGCACTATAATTCTATTTTAAAATTTAGAATATTTTCTTACAATTTAATGAATCAGTACTTATGATATAGTTGGCTGGCACTTACGATAACACTTTTGGAAGCAAACACACTGGGACGACATACAAAGCGTTTTTCTGGATTCAGTGCAGCAGGAATTGCTGGAACCGCTGGATGTGTTGTTGCTGTATGATTTCATATTTCGTCGTATAATTGTGTAGAATAATTCAACTTTGATCAATAGCAAAATGAAATATAGCGATATAATCTAACCTTCCATTGCAAAACGTATTACACAAATTACAGGGTGAAAAACTATTCATAAATGGCCTTTATTCTCGGAATTTGACGTCTACAGAGCAGCTTGAACTCGAAATGTACCTTAAAAAATTAAGTGACTACAAAAAGGTGATGTTTCATTTAGTCATTTACACTTTTTTTAGTTATGGATCATTTCTCAAATGTCTGATCAATTTACTGAATTGTTTTATCGTTGGATACATAAATCTTAAAGTTTAAATATATTTATCAGCAATTCATCCAAGTTGCATTAATTGTATACTATCAAAAAGTTTTAACGAAGCACAGCAAGTAAAAAAACATAATATTTCTATTATATATATATATAATGAATTTATTTTTGCATGGAGTAGGTCGCTAAAAAAATTAATCTAAACTAGCTTCTATAGGAAATAAAGGAATTGGACGATAAACGCAGACTCTGGCTTACAAGAAAATATGACCAGAAAAATGTTAAAGCAAATGAAAACACTACTAATATAAATTTCCCTAAAGCCCCCAAAAAACCGTCATTCTGCTCTGCTGCAGAAACCACTCAGTATTACTTTGAAGGCTGCATGGTTCAGGTACTTCATACAAAACATTGCAATATTACTTGATATTATCAGAACACACCAAACATAGTGCCTTTTCTTTCATGATAATTGATTATATTTGGAAATTAATACTGTCACTGCTTGATAGATGATAGTTGTTTTGTAGAATGGTAAAGTATATGTAGGACAAGAATATGTTCGAGATTTATCAGAGAAAGAAAAAGAAGACCTGAAAATTTTTGATGCAAAGATGGTTGCATATCAGAAACATTTGACTTCCTTCATTCAACATGTAATCTTTTTTTGCATTCATTAAAAATCATAGCTTATATTGATTAGATTCTATTAGTTAGCCTTTCGTAAATTTGAATTAATTAACTTTGACTTTAATTCATATAAAATATATGCATATAATTAAATTATTTTGGAAAATGCTTAAAGTGAGCATATTGGACTTTCAGTCGATGAAATGATATTTTTGCAGCAAATAAATTCTGTATTTACGGATAAATTAGATCTGTTCAATATATTCAAAGATTTTCGTTCCCGAAATTCATTGGAGACAGAAACAACAACTACTGTGGCAACGCCACAAACCACCACAACTCCAGTTGAAATGCCAGAAGCTCCAACATTCTGTATCACAATCTACTGAAAATGACATAAAAGCTATATACTTCTTATAGCATTGCAATATTTTTTAAGCATACCATTTGTGATGAAGTTTTTCTAATTTTTGATACGTTTATTTTGAAAGAAATTTTTATTAATGATTGCCGACAGCAATTATTTCTGATCTTATAACCTTGAAAGTTTTACATTATGATTTGCTTAGTTTATTGTTTTCAATGCATTGTAGTGATAAATATTTTGCATTTTGTTTTAGTGTTTATTACCATTTAAAACAAGCTATTCATACGAAAAATACAGCAAAAGCATGTTAATTCAATTGAACTGCAAAAAACTTGTTGTGTTAACAACTGTTGCATAGAATCTGAAACTTCTTCGAATTATTATTCCTATGTTTGTGAAAGAGCTAAACGATAAATCATTTAGAGTTAAAACAAAAAAATTGAAATAAATGTCACTCCAGTTTAGAAATCAGATTTCATGATAAACTTTTTCATTATAAAAATAATAACGACAGCTACTGAAATTCTAAACCAGTAATGATCATTACCGTATGATAACTTGCTGATCTTTAAATTATCAGAATTTATGAAAAGGTATATACGAGAAAAATGAACTAAAACAAATTAAAAAACAGGCGACGTACAGTTGACGATTACAGAAGTTATAATTAGGTGATAATTTTGAGCAAAGATAAGATAGTCAGTGAACATTTCTGAAATGAGTTTTAGCAATCAGAAGACATGAATTTCAATCGTAAAAAATCTGAGCTTTATCAATCTTTAAAAAATCTTCATTACATTTAAAATTAAATTAAATTGCGAAATGGATACAACATTCAGATACTGCATTTGAAAGAAAAAGTTTGATTACGCTGATAGTTAAATTATAAATTGAGGTTGAATATTTTTGCACTAACATTGGAATGTTTTCTGAATTGCAAGCGCTTAATAATATTAAAAAAGTTATGAAGGCACTGCAAATTGGAATTTCGATCGTATTATATTTTTAAATTTATTTGCAGCGCTACAATGATATTTCTCAATAGAGCTCAATACAAAAAATTTTTTTTATATCGGTATCAAGGTAACAAAGATCGATAATACATAATTATCCTTGTAATTTTTCAGAACAATCTCTATTACCTTTGACCTCTAATAACTTTTGATAAAATAAGGCAACTACCAATAAACTGCTCATCAAATCAGAACAAAAAGAAATCTCATACTCATTTTTTGACAAGTTGGCATTTAATTTAATTAAAATGATAGCATTAGTTATCCAGTGTGTCACTACTCATAAAGTACAAAAATTCTGGAAAGTAAATGCAATAAAATCATAGAATAAACAACAATGCCAAGCAATTTTTCAACGTGGAAAAATATGTATACAGTAACAAAAAAAGTGAATACATGTTTAAAAAAAATTGTTACCTGAGTATGATGAAAAATTCTCATTTCTGTCACCAAGGATGAAACGACAGTTGTATCTCCAAAAAAATATTCCAGCATTTAAATTAAAGTCAACAAAGAAATAAAAATATAGTTTGTACGCCTTTACACAAAAGAGATTTGAAATAGTCTAAGTGACCAATGCTATTTCCACTAAACTAACAGAAGACGAAATGAAAAACCAGTGCTAAGGAAATGACCTTTAATATTCACAAAAACAATGAGAAAATTTAGCGTAAGAAAAAAATATGTGACCGATTACATTGCTGCACAAATTCAAGAAAACTGAATATCCAAAAAACAATTTGTGCCATAAATGCATAGACATAGGTCAGATATTGAGAGAATTATTAAGCTAAACACCAGTAACAGTTCGAAACAACTATTGTATCTTTATTTCGAGGAATCATATGCAAATGAAACTTTGAATAAGTTAGCTTATGCTGCAGAATAAATGCATATTCTGAATTAGTGAAAAAGCTAACTTGCACATGATTCCTCGAATGTACGTCGAATACTGATACACTGTTACATTAATGATATTTATTATTTTAACAAAATGCAACACTGAACTGAAATGAGAGAAATGTTTTGCGAAAAAGAATTGAGATGCTGCAACTTTCATATAAAGTAGACGAATTTTTGCATGTTGAGTGTAATGTAGTGTACAATCAGTAGTACGTATTTGAGCGATAAAAAGATTATCAAAGATTATTAGTATGAAAAAATGAAAAACGATTTCGCATATGTCCAAAAAGATGTGACCAGAGATAATATGCATTTACTGTCTGCTAGTATGCTAATTATATAAGAAGCAATTGAGTCAAGCTTCATTCACATCCTTTCGGGATTTTTCAAGTACAGTTTGCGTGAAGTTTGAAGCTCGCGAAACTCACCTCAAGAATCTACCTTGCGCCATTTTCTCACCAGGAGGTACAACGGAAACAGTCCGTCACCGCTGCCCTCAAAGCCTCTCTCTTACCACACTACTACACAACTAAATAATTTCAGCGTTATTAATTGGGTTACTGCGCACTACCACTTTATCATGCAAAAACAATCAAAGTCGCTTTTAATCTCAATTATATTTAAATTGAACACTGCAGGGCTCCTAGCGAGAATTGTAATTAGTTGAAGTAAGGTAGTACGTTAAGCACGACAAATACTACTCTGCATAGCAAAAGTTCAACTTTCTAGAAGTATGAAAAAAATTAAATCTGTTCCTTAAAAACAGAACTTGTTGGAATGAGCTATATTTGAGCTCTTTAATTCATTATTTTATTTCACACAAATAAAATTTAGCACAAATCACAAATTTATACATCAATATTTCGAGCAGTCATGCATTTTTTTGGCAGAAAATGCAAATAAATAAAGAATGAAAGATGGACCGCTCAAGTTATGACTTGATGATTACATTTTAATTGCAATACTTTCTAAAGTATATTCGAAGTGTACGGGGTCAATGTCACAAACATTCATTTTATTATTTCACTGCTGCAGTGATGCAATGAATATAATATGCGCAGCAGATATTTGCAGTGCTTTTTTGAATTTTGATTAATTTTATCACAAATTTGAATACGAATGCGCAGTTTATGGGACTCAAAGATTTGCAGGCATTAATGTGCACTGACACTTTTGCTAATCTCTACAGGATTTATAGAAAAAAGAGGTTCCCAACGTTTGTAACTTGACTTTTCTATACAATCACTGCTAATGCTTGTGCTCTGTGGCAGCAGAAACTATTAGCCTTCTAATTAGTCAAATAAATTTAGTAAGAATTTTTACCCGAAAAAGCACGCTGACATGCTTGCTTATAAAGAAAAGGCAAATGAACACTTATGATTTTATGCAAATTTTGATCAATGAATTTGGCTTCCAGCAAGCGTGTTTTCTGTTAATTGTGTTTTCGTCTTCTTCACTTCATTTGCAGCACTTATTTTGAGATAAAATGGTACCGCGCGGAAATCAGATTTCAAGCTACTCGATTGAGTTGCTATGAAGCACTTGGCAATTAATATGCTAATTATTGCACTCTTAGCTCGAAAGACCTTCAATTTCGGTAACCGCCGCTTGTGCATGTGAATGGTCAAGAGAAATTATCACGAATGGCGCGCAGGTTAAGAAGCTTACTTAGTTCCCTACACTTCTTATTACATCGCACTGAGGGATAATTGATTACTTTGCATTTTATTAAATACATTTTCAGCATCATTAATTTATGCCTTCAAATCGTTAATCATTCATGCAATTTTAACCTCAGAATAATTGGCGCTCAAATTGGACAGCCAAATTTTATACTGGATATATAAGTACTGTTATTTGCTTAGTTTCATTTAAGCAATTTTACAGATTCAAACTATTGAAATTTATAGTACCAATAGTAATAGCAGCAATATATTTGCATTATAGTGAGCATTAATTTTGGGTCTAGAAATGGTATGTTTGTTTTCTGCACTCCTAGACTGTTTTCTTTGCATTATTCATTTCAAGATTCGAGGACAGGTGACCTGACTGATTTCGATTTTGGCGGGCGTTGACCTGGTTCGTTAGAGCAATTATGGCAGAGACCTGACCCTGACTGACCCTTGTAGTAACCTCTCCCGCCTGATTGCTAGACGCAAGCTTAATGAACAGGTGGCTAGCTTGAATTTCCTTCTTTGCAAAAGAACTGAATGACTCATTCATTTGCTCACCACTTCGAATGCCATTTAAAAGCCAAATAATGATTTCGTGCAAGTAAAACGCATTTTTATTCGAATCAATCAATTTCGTTTGTTTTACTTGTAGACAAAAGTCAAAGGTCATTGCAGTGAAGTATTAATGCATGTCAGTTGTGAATTTTGATGCAAATTACTATCGCAAATAGATCATTTCGAGCAATTTAATGCTTGTCATTTGCATGCAAATATTAACCGTTGATCGTTTTAATAAATTCATAATTACCTGACGTGTGGTTTGACATTTTGCAAATGATAGCAAGGAACGTATGTATTAATGGCGTTAATTCTGGAAGCAAGCATTTGACTGATTAATTTGCATATTCAGATGATGACTTCATGCTAATTATTATACATATACCGATGAACATGAACTAACTCAATCATACGGACAGCAAAAGTATGCAACTACTTTTGTCCCCACTTATTATAACTCAACAGTCAGCAAAATTGTTTCCAAAAGTCGCATGTGAATAAACCAAAATGCGATCAAATTTTTTGAATCAAGAACGTGCTCACTGAAGTCATTACACTCAACTTGCAGTTTTACTTACAATATTCATACATGATCTCCAATCTCACGCAAATAAATTAACTAGCATACTTACCTACTAACTAACTAACTAACTAAGTAACTAACTAACTGAGTGTCTGATCAGTTTCCGCTATTCATGACAAAATTTCCTTTTGTAATTATAATTGCGCTTATCTGAGATTGTGATGTGGCGACGAGCTTATCGTCGGAGCTCACTGTGAAATATGATCTCAAAGAGTGCACAAGGATATGTGATATCATCAAAGTAATCACTTCAATAATTGCTTATAATTATATCCTTATTATCGAGGACATTGGCGTTTTTCATCATTTTGCATAGCGACTTCACTTCTCTTCTCAACCGAATGAATACGTTCAATTAATTGGTAGAGCGGACATTCACTTTGCTTATAAGTATGAAATGGGTAAGTTTGTTCAGTTCAGACTTGCCCTAGCACATGTGACTGTTAAAAGTTAGACTTATCGTACAGCAAAGATTGTGCGTGAATAAATGATGAAAAAGTTTGTGCCGAATACGTTGATCAAAAGTGTATTCTTATCCAAACTTGCATTTTCACCCTTTCACTCTCATTATCGTTTTTCATTTCATTCGCAATAATTCGTTATCGCTCTGCATTTTTTGTCAAGAAGTGAGAGAGAATGAATGAATGCATGCGCAAATCGCCATCAGCTGCAAATTTTGGCTAAGAATTGTTTATTTCGCTGAGATCTAAGAGAAAATTATTGGCTCGCAGAAGTGTTCGTTCCGCTTCACGCAAATCAAAACGACCTCAACAACCGGTTGCGGCTTCTTTTGCCGCCATATATTCTCTTCTCTTTCCGGCACGTGTCCGGAAAAAGGCTCTTCTGTGATGTGCGTGTATCAAATCTCTGCACTTCCAAACTCATTTGCCTTTGCACTAATACAAATACTTGTTCGTTCACATAATTACTCGTCTACTTACACTTTCTTTCTTATTTGCTCTAATTTTTTGCTACCAAAATGCTTCACATACTTCTTCATTACAAGTCTTTTTTTTAATGTTTTGTTACAAATGTTTCATTAGTGTTTCGTACTTCAAAATTTTTGCGTTTTTTCTGAAACCATTTAATGATTGTCATTTCGAACTCATTAATCACTATTCATATCTTAAATGTTTCTTTGAAGCATAATATTAGCATTTTATAATATTTATTTGTTTTCAAGTTTGCAAAACTTTCATCCCTTTATTCAGTATGTGTCAGCTTTGATTACCTTTATATGAACTGCTACTGCATTTTTAAAATATTATCAGTTGTGACTTCATCAGTTTCTTTTTCAGCGTTGTAAAGTGATTGAAATTTTTAGCGATTTTAACAACTATGCACAGTTGGAGAAGCCTATAAGTAAGTGTATATTTATGTAAGCATCATGTCAGTAACTTCACGTGGCCGTTAAACTTTGTTTGATATTTGCAGTCTTTTCATAGGTGAGTATGAAGAAAGCAATTGTTTTAAAATTTGACGGGCTGTCAGTTATGATCAGTACTTTTACCATGTGCACTTCTTGCACCTCTTATAACTGGTTTCTTTTTTGGACCGAAAATTTTCAAAATCAGCAGATTTTTCAGAAAATATGAACATAAACAAATGAATGAATAAATTATATACATTTTTTGAAACAACCATTTATTTCATTATTTATCACTTTTATTTCATGGCTGCATTTTCAATCATTAAAATCTGATTCTCTATCAGATTATCAGCATCACAGATTCGAGTGTCGTTTTAAAAATTTTAGCATATTTTAGCTTGTAAGCCATGAAAAATGCATAAAATGCTCGACGATCATCGTACTGCTGTATTTCTAAAACAATAAATTTGCATATGTATAGTGCATTTTCATTAGGCAAAAAGTAAATCAAATAATTGTCTAATTTATTGCATATAACATGAAAATGAAAGCTCTTAATATCTCCTTTAATGATTAATGAGTACCTGATTGAATTTGTGATGTGTTTAGATTTTTTTCAATTAATTGATACCACTGTGATGTCTCATTTTCAATAAAATCTTTGACAACTATTCTAACTAAATTTCAAGCAATAATTTCTACTAGATTTCAAATAATTGAATTTTGCTCAATGAGTACATTCATTTTGCAAATGTATGCAATTTTTGGTAATTTTTTTCGAATATTTCAGTAACCAATAATGAAATTTAAAATTATATTCATTATGGAAGCACTTATAATCAAATATGATTCAATTAATTTATAAATCAAATGCCAGAACTGAACTATATGTTCGGTGCCATGTGACTTGAAATCACTATGGCCATTTTGTTAATTTTAAAATCTGCCATTAAAATTCATTTGACATCTGCTGCTTCATCTTTTGCCATCTCATCTATTATTTGTTAACTGTGTTGAAAATTAGGAATATGATGCATTACTTTTGCAAAACTACATTTTATGCATAATATTCGTCAAAGTTAAAATATAAAGGGATACAATTTTAAGATTATATAGTGAGATTATGTGCTCTCTATGATTATCATCAGCAATACGGTCACTAATCAACAAAATCCGCAATATATCACATTATCTGGTCTGCAGAAGATAAAAAAAATATTTTTCATAAGAGACTTGTCTGAATCTACACCAACAAGAAATATTCATTTTCCTCACTTTAATGCTTGGAAATATTGCTAATGTTTGATTATATTTAATTACTATTTATGTTTCTTGAATTGCCCTTTTTAAAACCAATCAAGACAATTCAAAACTAATTTTGCGTTGGTTTATTTTTTATCAAGTAAAAATCTGCTTATTCTCAAAATACCTGTATTATATACTGCTACAATGGTTTCCTTTATTTCTCTTTTTACATTATTTAATTATACTTTGGTCATAAACATGAATGGTAGTAATGCTGATAAAACAGCAATGTGTTAGTTTTTAGTTCAATTTACATAAAGCCTTCTCAAAGAAGATTCTGGGCAATATTTAGATGTATAAACGAATATCATCAGTGAAGTACTCGTGTCAATAAGGTAATCCATATCGAATGCAATCTGTAAGTTAAATATAGTTATAAAGATATGAAATGGTTGTTTTATGCAAATTTATAACTTATGGCAATAAAAAGAGAAGTATCAATGTGCAGAAATCAACTAAACTAATTTCAAAAATTAAATCATCGTACACAATTTACTTAAATTGCATTTGAGCTTCTATGAATCATGCTTGTAGACGTGAAAAATCTTCTATCCTCAAATTTAATCCATTGTTGTGAGTCATGCACCTTTCCGGAAAAATTGCCTAAAATGCTTTTTATTCGTTTACATATTTCGAGATATATGCAAATTTCAAGCATTTCTCTATTTACTCGTTTTTTTACTATATATCTGCATATACATAAATATATATAAGAAATACAGTAAATAAGTTTAAATATTTCTAAAAAATGTTTGCGTCTATGTATAATTAATTGTTTAATAATTGATCAAAGCTTAATTTGCTCTTATATTTCATCTAGTAGAAAAATTTTGTGTACTGTCATGCGCAATTAACTTAAATTGAGGATGTGAAATCACTTGCTATGTCTAAAAAATATGTTTCAACTTGAGTAATAACTAAGCTGCTTTATCACTGAATAACATATCTATTTCTTTTCATCTTTTGTTTTGTTCTGCGACAAAGTGATTCTGCGACGAGTTATATGCACGAAAACGGCATAAAAGTGAACATAGTTTTGTACGACAGCAAATACATTGTTTAAGTAGATGACCAGCATATAAATGATTTACTCGAAATAATTATACAATTGCATATATAAGTAATTATTGATCAACGATAGGCTTTCCTGGAGACATTCGCATGTAGTGGTAATTCAGTGAAAGATAATGAGAACGGTAGGGGCGTGGTTACTATCTAGAAATTGGGCCACTTCTCTGGCCACGGGTCATTCTATTTCGAAACGTGTCACCCGAGAACGGTTCATTGCCTTATTTACTGCTCCTAAACTTAGTTTTTTCACCCACTTTTTTAAGTAAATAAATACCTAGTTTTATCATTTTTAATTAACTGATTATCAGTACTATTATTATACACTTTTTTAGGTTGTCACTTGTTAACATGGATACTGATTCGCTGCTTTTCTTGGAATATTTATCAAAAAATTAAAATTTAGTAATATATATTAATATCTGCCTACATTCACCTTATGGTTTTTCAAACTTTTACAAATTGACTTCTTGCCATATTCATCAAATCATTTATACACATGCTTTATGCTTCAAATAACCTGTAAGCACTGATTCTTAGTCACTTCAAGTAAGCTATTCCTTTCTTTCACTTTTATATCTATTTAATTATCAGTTCATACCTGATAGAAGAATTGATTTGAATAGCCTATTTATTCAGTGTGTGAGTGAGTTGCTCGTTTCATTGGTTGATATTTAATTTGCTTGTTGATATTTTCGTAAAAAAATACTAAATTTTTTTACACGATAGCTGACAGCTTATAGTACTGTATTTAACTAAGAAATTATTTGAGATTGTAGTAAGCTTTCAGATTTTGGTTCGAGTTGGCAGTTAGTTAAAATTGTTCTCCTAATAATTCAATTCAAAGAAGAGTAGTGTGGTACTGAATGAGAATGCCAAATGGATTCGACGCAATTTCTAATACTGCTACTAGCAGTAATGGCTCTTCACCTCGAATTCGAGTAAGAAAACTAAAATCTGGTGGTGTAACAACAAAGTTACCACATCAAGTACTGAGACGAAATGAGCGAGAGCGCAAACGTGTTCAACAGGTAATTAATTGGTTGTTAATTTACTGCATATTTTATCGAAAATTTATTCAGTTTTTTTGTAAAACGATGCAGGATTATAATTTTTTTGAAACAAATTTTTGATTTTGATAGTGGCTGACAGCACTAGCTTCATAATTAGTTCAGATACTTATTTATTTTGCATCATTTTTTTGTGGTATAGTAAAGTAAATTTTAGTACATTCATTATGTTTTGAATAATTTTTTACTTTTACAAACTGAAAGACTATTTGCAATTTTTCACTGTAGGTAAATCTTGGCTTTATACACCTTCGTGACCGAGTACCTCACTCAGCGACCAGCAAAAAGTTAAGCAAAGTGGAAACACTTCGTGAAGCAGCAAGGTATATCAAGCACTTACAAGATTTGTTGCAAGGAACTTGTGATAAACCATTTGAACCATTAAATATTAATCACGAGACCAGAAATAATCACAATAATTTGTGTTTAACTCAAGAAAATCACAATCCTTCATTAGATCAGCAAACTAATAGCAGTTGTCATTACGCTTGCAGCACTGAACCTGTGTACAACCATTTCAATTTTACTGATCATCCATACTATAAATCACAAAATTCATTCAATTTTCATAATTCCACTCTGAAATCGGAAAATGAATTATTACATTCAACATCAGTATATTCTTCTACATCAACTGCATCACCTTTTAGTTGTAATGAAATTACACGGTTTCAACACACTGATTACGTTTTGTGATTGTTGTTTTCAATTTTCATGTTTTTACTTTCTCTTTGCTTCACTTCACTTACTGACCAAATTTAATGTCTTACTGATATGCAAATCACTGAACAGTTCGAAACCTATGTGTACCATAATAAATAACATGAACAAAATTTTTCAAAAATTTCATGCAATAAATTTTTGATGCACAAAATTGAAATTATCAGCAGCACAAATTAGTGATTACTATTTTGAATAAAAATACAAATGCTTATTTTTGTTTCACTTTCAAACAAAACTACAATTGTCATTAGACTAACAACGAGAACTATTAACATTACTTTCATTCATTGTTATAACATTTTTTTTAAAAACATGTAAAAGAGATTGTTTTTTTGTATTATTCATTTTACTTGTATTTGTTTCACTTTTTAACATTTTGCCTTATTACGATTCTTTTTCACTAAATACTATCAAGTCGTTTCGTTCATTTATTCATTCCTGTTCTGCGATTTGTAAAATTGTCATTAGTGCATGTGATAAAAGTTAACAAAACAATGACATTTTCTTACAGCATATAAAAGTAATTATAAAATCGTTTTGATAATTTATAATTTTTCAAACATATCTAATGTCTTTTGACAAAATCAAAAGTGCGAACTTATTTTATTATCAACACTGATATTATGACTCCAAGTATATCACTGATTTCATTCCAAATATTTAGAATTATCGAACAATTATTTCATTAAAATTTATAAAATGGTTATTTCTCCATATGAAATAATCCAATTTCATGCAATAAATTTGGTAAAAGCAAAAGCTTACTGTGCCACTATAATTACAATTACACAATGCTTATTTCCATCATTTACAAACAGGGCAAAAGAAAACAGACTTTGAAGAGAAAAAGTAATTTGATCTCAGGTACTAAATTTCTTTCTTTTTTGAATTACAATAATTTTACTTTTCATGAACTTCGATGAGAATATTCGAAAAAGTTTTTTGGTATGTTGTGTATAATGTCGGGATTAATTTTGTTTATGCGATTGAACGAAAGGTTTAATCTAACTTTGATAATTTTGTTATAATAATATCGTATTTAGCATTTTGATATTTTTTTAAAAATTTTCGACTACATTTAAAAGTAAAAATTTTTTCTTACTTAACTTCAAACTTTCATACAAATTCGTAAGTTCTACGAATGTGTATGCATTTGTATGCATAAGTGTTTGTGTGTGGTCCAATGGCACTTACTTAATTGTTATTGTTTCTAGATATATATGAAAAAAAAGCAAAAAACAAAGGAAAAGTGCAAGTGAAAAACATCCATCATGTAAATGGAATGGCTTGCTCAGTAGCATACAAAGTGGTCTCATCTTCGTGAATAATGCAAATAGTAGTTGAGATCAGTTCAAATTTTCAAAGTTTTGAAAAATTTTAAATGTTTAATTAGAAAGTGAAAAGAGAAGTAGTTTTGAAAATGAAGTAATGAGATTGCTTTCAGGTATTTCACACTGTGAAGCAAATAACTCATTAAAAGTGTGTCTATTAATGTGTTTTTCTAACTTTTACCTACACTTACAAGTAGTAATCATTTGATCAAATTACGTTTGTGAGTGTGTCTGAAGTAATAAACAAGATAATTAATAATTTTACCATTCTAAAGCAAGCAAAAAAAATCAATATTTAGCATTATTAAAAATTAACAGGTAATTTAGGTTTCATAGTCAGATATAAATGAAAACGATAAGAGGTCACGAAAATGTCTTTCAAGGCAAGTAGATAGAATAAGAATTATATTGGTTGAGTAAAAGAAGAGCGGATATATGATGATGAATGAGTTTGTTGTGCTGATGCATATTCAAAAGTGAATGAGTACTGCTTAATATCAATTTGTATATTGTTCTATAAAAAGGATTTGCTTGAAAATTTGAAATTTGCACTCATTTTTAACAGGAAAGTTCAAGAAAGCAAATTAAAAAATGGTATAAAATTTAAAAATTTTTTTTAGTAGCAAAAAAAATGCTTGGGAAAAGTTGAAATAGTAGCAAAAATTATCAAGTAAAATTTGTTGCGTTATTTATAACAAGCCTTTAGCTTCTTCGTCTCAGTTTTTTATTACTAAAAATTTATATTTATTATTTCTTTACTAATAAAAATTATTCATTTTTAGCTTCAATTTCTGTAAGCTTTTTATTTCTCTGCAAAACTTTTATATAACTGCTTACCTTGACTAGTTTTGATGAACTTTCAGGTTTTAATCTATATTAAATATTCATTTTTGATAGAAATTAGTTGAGCATTAAAAGAGTACAGCATAATTTTTGTAGTAAAAATTTAAATTTAGCATAGAATTCTGATAAATTTTCAAGGACTAGAATAAATTTAGAAAGCCATAGATAGAAACGAGCATTTTTCAAGTTTCAGCAAATGACTAAGAGTGTAAAATTAATAAAAAAATTTTTTTCAGTCATTATTATTATTTTCAAGTGTAATATTCTAGCACATATCTTCTTGCAGACATAATTATTATGATAGTAAATATGCATCGCAGGTGTGTTCTGCTAACAAATCTTATTTTCATTTGCAATTCAGTGCCATAATTTTACAACATCTTCAATTTTCAATTGCCTAGCATTCGAGTTTCTCATTAACCAGTAATATAATATTTTATTTTATTCTTTGCACAAGGCAATTCAGGTCATGAAACCAGTAAATAATTTTTGTTGCACATCAGTACCACAAAAAAAAGCCTTTCAATACTTTAAAAACCGAAATTGAATTAATAATTCACTTCTTGCTTTATTAATCCTTTTATAATGTATAACATTTTGCAGTAATCAATATTACAGAATGAAATTTCGTTTGAATAAAAAATTAAATTTTCAGAATAAAATAGTTCAATTGTGACATCATTTGAGAAGATAGATTATTATAAATTTACAATTAATTTACAACAATGTAAATTCTGATTTTCTAACAAGTAGCAAATTCATTTAATAATAATTAATGCTTATTGTATTGCTGCATTATTGATAATACTATTGCTATTTTTATCTGTTATTGCTATGAATAATATTGTTTTAGATTTCTATTAATTAGTACTATTTTTATTTTCTCAATTCTCAATCTATAAATGTCAAAATAATAATAATAAAAATGTTCAATAAATTAGCGAATATTGCCTTAGATTGCTTGCATTTATTCATTCGTACGTATGCAGTGTCAAGTTACGCAATGACTCACATAAATTACATTGTGCACTGTAAATGTTTTTTATGCCTGCAATTATTTAAATTTTTAAATGCAAAATTAAGCAATACAGGTAATAAGCAGTTCAACTGCTAGAACGTATTGTAGAATGAAGAAATATATTGTGAGGCTGGATTAAAAATGGCGCAATCTGCTAATTATGATCCAGCACAAACTGTTTTCTCTGCTGGATCTTATTAAGATCCAAATTTTGCATAATACAAAGAATAGTTGCTGTTTCGAACTGAATTGCTCAAATAGTAATTAATTTGCTAATTTTTATTATGAAAGAAGCATTTACTTTTTTTGTCATTTTTATAAAAATTATGATTAGCTTTAATGTGAATATGCCAAAATTAGGAATAATTGGTATGTGACAAGATTTTGCATGCAAATTGCATTGAAATTTAAAGTTCACATTTTTAAATACAAGTATTATTTTTTATGCAAAAAAAATGCATGTTAGCTTAAATAAATAAACTTTTAATATTTCTGTAAGTTTCAAGAACTGTCTGTTTTAAACATTTTAACTCTCTACAACTTTTTGTGAATGTTTTTGGTACATCGTTAATTATTGTAATTTGTTTTAATTTTTATTTGCAATTGTTATTATAAGAATTATTCACAGTTTGAATCATAAATTTTGACTCAGTAAATAAACTTTTATCTTTTGCTGTTAGTAATTTATATGAATTTTGCTCTTATTTGCATATATTGAATCAAAAGTCATAAATTTTTCAAGAAAAGGAACTCAAAAATACGAAATAAATTTAATTTTAATTTTAGTCAATCAATCGATCAATACATGATAAATGATGTAGCTACCATAATATACACTACATGTCCCACAGCACAGTTCAGTCTTCTTTAATTCAATTTAATTCATTTCAAATCATTTCAACCACATGCTGTGTTTTGGTCTTCTCACACCTGAGTGTGTTATAATAATAATAATGGCTGGCCTGATTATATCGAACTGTCACCATTCTTTTCGTAAACCAACAAGAATGGACAAAAAAAAGAAAAAACAACAATTGAATTAAAATAAACTATTTGGAGGTTGAATTATCCAACAGCGCCAGCAACAATTAACATTCAATCAGTAATTTAGATCAAAAACTGATCATTGCTATCACAATTTTTGCATTTTTATTTGATTTGATTTAAAAGTAATCAGTTGCTTACGAAACTTTGCTACAGATTTGCAATAAAAAGTTACAAAAAAAAAAAAAAAATTTTGTTAGCCATAGCATAAATATAATTATTACTAAATAAATGCATTAAAATCTAACGATTTCAATTCATCAAATGAATAAAAAGTATTTAAACTTTAAATACTTAATCATTTTGTCTCATGTAAATTTCATTGATGATAACAAATGTGCTCGAAATTTGATAAATTAATTTAAACATAATTACAAAAATTTGAGCAATTTTATTAGTTTAATTTGTAAAATTTTTAAAAATGATTTTTTTTCAGCTTCTTTTATCTTATCATTATCATTATTAAAAACAGTGCTGTAATACTTGTTATATGAATTTTTGTAAAAAATGATTTAAGTACTTTTTTTCTTTTTTGCAAATTTTGTTGTTTGAAACAAATTTCGATTGATGAAGAAGAAGGAAGGAGCGTATGCAACACTTTACTACTTTCGTCGTCCAAACCATATGCTTCAAAAAATTATAATTTTTGCATGGCAACAAGCAGACGCTCCGGTACCACTGCTCATATTTCATCTTAAATGATTATATAATTCTCATGCAGTCATGAAAATCTCCTA